TTTTGCCAATGCAATTTTAAAAATGAAAAGAAATAAGACCTATAAATACTGAAAAAATAGTCAAAGTTGACAATATTTCAAAGCCATGGTCACCTATCTAGAAAGTCCTGGGGACTTAACTGCTGGACTAATTAAAGGCTGCAGCAAGATTAATCTATAAAAGGATCAGTTTTCTTATGCTCTAACAATAAAGAGCATAAGAATTTCTCCTTGCAAATAAGGGAGAAAACAAATCCTTTTTACAATACAGTGAAAACTCTCAAATGTTGAAGATAATCACAAGAAGAATAAAGCATCATAGCAAGAATATGATCATAAATCATAACGAGGATCATGTTTAAACTTAACTAATATCTGAATAGACAAAAAAGAGTTCCCCAAAAGAACATTCAGTATTTTAAACAGGTTAAATCTTCCCAAATTAATTTATAGATCCAACTCTGTAGTAAATTCTTATAATCTTATGTTGCTTCGGCTTCCATGTTGAATAGAAGTTAAACTTTCTTATACCATGAGCAGGGTTCGATCACCCTCAACACAATTTCCAGTTCTACACCTCCTTTCAGTTCCTCTATGTGGTCAGTCTGGATTTCTGCCTTATATAACTTCCTCCTGGTGGTCACCTCCCTATGGAACAGCTAGATACAGCCTNAGAATTGCAGGGGGTGCAGTTTGCTGAAAAGACTCAGGCCGAGACCAGATATTCTATACAGCCCAGGTGCACCAGATCTCATGTGTCCTGGAAGCACCTATAAAGTCAACCATTAAACCTGAGCTGCATAAAAAGCCTTCCCCAGGGAATAAGAAGCAAAGCAACAATTTAGCTCAACCACAGAGCTCAAGTACTGGTCCCCACAGGAAGTTCCCCCATTTTAGAAGTAAGCAAAGGACAACGACCCCCCCCCCCTGCAGAGTTTAAGTGGTGGGAACAGCAAATAATCCAACACAGAACTGAAAGGAAAAATACCCACAGACCAGAGACAAAGTTTGATATTAACTAGTAAATGTTTCTCATCACCAAAGAGCAGCCAGGGAGCGGGGGAAGGCTGGGGGCCTCAACCATGCCTCCCCAACACCTGCAACCAGCCCTGAGGGAGGGGGGCCTAGGGCCTCGGCCACACACTCCCACACCTGCAAACAACCCAGTGACAACCACCGAGCTGCAGCAGGAAGTGCTCCTGGCTCCCAAGCTGCGGTTGGGGGGGGGCAAGGGCTTCAGCCACCCCCCTCTGACATCTGCACCCAGCCCAGCAATGACCAAGCCACCACTGGAAGCCCCCTGGTATCCCGTGCCGGAATGACGGAGGTGCCACAGGCCTCAACTCCACCCCTCTTCCTTCCTCCTTCCCCCACCCTATTTCCTTCCCCTTTCCCCTCTTCCCCT